CCGCAGAGGGCTGGAGAGGATGTGGCCGGGGTGGGCGTGGCCTGCTCGACGGCACTCGCATCGAAGGCGCCTTGGTGGCATGAGCGCTCTGCCAGAAAAAAACAGGCTCCCGAGCTCTGTTTTTGTGGGCAGAGGGTTGCAGGAGGCCGCCGCAGCCGAAAACAGAGCTCGGGAGCCTGTTTTTTTCTGGCAGAGCGCTCAGGCCACCAAGGCGCCTTCGATGCGAGTGACGTCGAGCTGGCCACGCCCACCCTGGCCACATCCACTCCAGCCCTCTGAGGTTAAACACAACCCTGATGCGGCCCTCTATGAAAAACGGCCCTTTTTTGCTCAATTTTACTCCCTCCCCCTGCTTCCAGGAGGAAGCTTCCTAAAGGCTATTCAGGCCTTTGTGGGGGGGAAGCGGGCACGTTTTTGTGAAAAACGGGCCGTTTTGGGGAGGTTTGCAGAGCGCAAAACCTTTTTTTCATTTACCTCTTCAAAACCTTGGTGCGTCTTATCCTGCGAAAAATACATACATCAAAAGGCCGACAGAAATCAACCGATTGGTCAAAAACTGGAGCTTACTATAACAGTTTCGCTGGCTATCACCAACAATTTAGCACCGAAATGCTGAGCAATCTCTGCCTTTTCTAGAAAAGTGCAATTTCCCCTCTTCACTACGATAGCTTTGCCCTTGATGTCTTTGGTAACGTCGGATCGGCTGCAGAGCATCTTAGGGGTCAGGAACTCCAGACTTGCATAGTCCTAAAAGATCATAAAAACAAGTCATTTTTAAAAAAACGAAACCAAAGATGAAAGAGCAAGGATGCAAGAGACTTCTACAAGGTTCTGTTTGTCACTTCCTGTTATTTACAGGAACCAGAGTTAAAATCCTTAACACAGAGCAGTAACTGCCTTTTCTGAGAATGCAAGGACGACCCGCTATGTTAAAGGTCTCTGCCTTTCTGTTAGAGGCCAAGAGCGGTTCCTGAAGCCCATTTTACAATTTCTTAAAGCATACAAGGTCGCTTAAAGCTGCCTTTCATGTCTGCAGCTGTTTCTGGGGAAAGATGCAGCTGCTTCGAGGAGCTGCAGACAAGTCCCGCCTGGCCGGCCCCCGTTTCCTGAACCAACTTTCTGCCTTTGAATCTGAAATCTTTCTGCCAAGCAAACCTGAAATCCAACATTTCCCTACCATGCTAGCTTTCTGTTTACATAAACTTAACAAGAATGGTATTCCCAGCATTCCTCCACCCAGCCCAATCTTATCATTTTCAAATATTTCACTCCCACGTCCTTCTACTACGTGTGCGGATCCCGACGTAGCTGCCTTGCTTCCTTACAATTGTACAATACCCCCCTATAGCTTGGCCAGTGATATTTCCCGTAGGGATGCCAATTGCTTCTGACTTTGTTCTCACACTATACTAACTGATTTGATGGCTTATTGCTTATCATAATTCGAGATTCTGGTTATCACCTTTAAAGCGCTACATAGCTTGGGTAACATGAGTAAAATATAGCTTTATTGGTTAGCCAAAGTTGTGAAACTTGTCAAATGTCCCCAAACTGAAATTCATTCAGTTCTTAACAATTACGTATAAATACTTACAATGCTAGATAAGCTATCAGGAAGGGTAGTCCAGGTGGAATTGTAAAAGATGCAATAATTCTTTGTTAAATAGGGTTTGTCAATTTGAACTGCATGAAGAATTCCTCCTTGGGCACTTATCTATTATTAGAAAAAGAAAAAAAAACCAGATTATTTAAGAAGTACTGTTTATTTTTTTTAATTATTAGGAACTAACAAGAATCACGAGGCCATATATACATCTGACAGAGTTTTAAAAATTGAGTATTGTTTAAAGTCAAGCTTGAGCTAAGAAAGCTGACTTCAGTAAGGCCACCCCAGTTTCAAAAACTGATGTACAGGGCGGGGCATAACCTTTTCCTAGGGGGTCACAGCAACACTTGTAATAACAACACAAATAATTCATACACCATTCGAAAGCCCATCAAAAACTG